TCCTAGTATTTTTTTTTTTTTTTTTTAGTATTAGTATTGATTTGTTTTTGTTTTGGGGTTTGAGTTACTAAGACTTATGAGCTATAAAACATATTGGACCGATCAAAAATTCGGCATCCGAATTTAAAATAATACGTTAAAAGAGAGAACTATGAAAAAATTTAAAAAATATTTATAAATTACATTGCAATAAATATTTTTATGTATAAAATATTTTAAACTTGTATAGATGTAATATTTGGTTGATTTGGTTTCGATTTGTGATACGAACGTGGAAACAATAATAACAAGAACACAAATAAAATGCCAAAAAGATAGAATTTAGCAAAGAACTAATTAGGAAAATTAAAAAATACTTGAAATCAAACACAAATACCCTTCAATTTAAATCATAATCAACTCTAAACTATAGGATAACCCTAAGAGCAAGAACCTTATAAACCCCACCTTAAAACAATGGNCGCCCCGCAGAAACCCTTCCTGCCCCGTCCCGCCCCACAGAAAACCGCCCCGCCCCGCAAAAATATTTTTTTTCTTTTCTAAATGAATTTGGTAGTAAAACATGAGATACATATAATTCTTTTTTTTTATTTTCCTGCTAAGTACTATAAATTTAATCTAAATATTATATACCATCTTATAAAACACATGTTGAAGATGTTCTAAATTTTATCAAATTTAATTAAGTATTAAGTATATATGATTAATGAAATATGGAACTCATTGTTATTGCTACAATGGGGCTTAGTTTAAGGGGTTTTCTGCCGGTTAAAACAAAATCAAGAAGCCACATAACAGATCAAATATTTCTTTCACCTTTTAGGATGCGAATTATAAGAAGTAGATGGATATTCAATTGAGTTAAAGAGTAAAACAGGGGGAAAAAATGAAAGAATACAAACCAAAACTTTATTTAAGTACTGCTAATGATGCTTTGCCATATACACTCGTTGAATTTATTTCACAACGTTGGGATAAAAGAGTTAACTGTTCAAAAACAAACCATATTAATTTGGAAAAGCTGTTTTATTCAATACTCCTATATGATAAAGGTACAAGTGTACCATCAGCCAAAGAAAAAGAAGTAAACAAAAAAAATATTCGAGACGGGAGAGAGCACATCGTTACAGGTCTTTAGTTCAAAAGATTTAAATACCCAACCCGCTCCGCCCCGCCTCGCCCGCACCCGCAAATGCTCTAACCCACCCCGCCCCGCAAGCTCTGAAACCCGTCCTGCCCCGCACCCGCATCACCACATTGTCATCCCTAAATGGAATTCATCCATAATATTCACTTAATGAGTTCATAATCTCAATATCGAAATAAGTTACGTCCAAAATGAGAATCTTAAGAGCTATTTATACTAGGGAGCTAAGTATTACAAGTATAGCCACCAAATATAATGTAATCTTTAATTGTTGGCGAAATTGCACATATAGTCCGTCCCGTTATGAAAGTAATCTCCAATTAGAATTCAAAATGCTTGATGGCTATCTAGATTGTATCATCCTCCCTCCCTTAAAAGAAATTTGTCCTCGTATTTGGACCTTTACAAAAGATTGCCTCAAACCAACAAGCAAACCACATTTTTACAAATTTATGGTAAATCCAAGCATCCAAGCCAACAAGCAAGACAAATCTACCATTCAAACCAAAATCTAATGATACCCATGGCTAAAACAAAAAAAGCATAAAAGCTAGCAAAATCATAGAATTATCATGAAATACCTCCAATCCATACACCAAGTGTGCCCCAATATAATAATCATCAAGAAATATTTTAGCTCTCATAGCTTTATCAAGTCCAAGCATAAGCATAAGCCAAATAAACAAACTATTGTTGAATTCAAGTAGACATGAAAAATCAAGAATAAGAATGATATGTTAAAACAGAACAAGTCTCTTGACTTCTTTAATATATATATATCTGTAACAACTGACAACTTAAAATACAAATTCATACAACTAATCAAGTTATTTATAACTTTCATATAATATTGATATAAGAAATAATACTATAATAGTATACAACTTAAATACAAATTTCGTACAAAAATGATACTACTACAATAGAATATAAGTGAAATACAATTTTCATACAACTATAATATAATTTTAATACATATATACAACTTTAGGTAAAAGAGAGTATTTATAATTTCAATAAAAATTCCATACATATAGTATAAAACTTATATGTTGCTTCTTCCATTTAGTTTCTCCTTCACATGCCCGGTTAAGAAGCACCAACGATGATGATGTTATTTGTTAATATCAACTTGACAAAAAATTCCTACAAATCCCATCAAGCCTAACGCTGTCTTTGACGAAATCACTCGAAAACAAACTTCAGTTCAGAACCGGCGAAGACAAAATAGGATTCTCTTTGGCTCTTGCAAATCATTTAAAAGGATTTACCAACTGAAGGAATACTCATTTGTATAGGTAAATAAATTTCTAGCATAATATAGTTAGGTAATAAAAGACCGAACCGAATGCAATAGCCATTTCAACCATTATATATCAAAAGGATACATCCATTTACTTTCAACTGGATAACCTTTTACAACATCGATGTGTATCACATTTACTCTACAGACTTGTTCCCAGTACAGAAAAAAAGAAAAATCAAGGGTTTTACCAAATAATAATTATTGGATGAAAAAATATCATAAATTATCTATCTAGAAGAAAAGCATGATCTAAAAATAGGGTCTGTTGTCCCTAGAAATACAGGAGTACGTGTTGAGTCTAAAACAAAATTTTCGTACACTAATCAAATGTGGCTGCACCTGGATAGATTCCTCTTTGCCCACTATTTTGTTCTTGTGATGACTCTTTGAGTAAGTTCCACAAGTGCCCGTCTTGATCTCTGAACATCCTCGTCATCGCTCTCAGGAAGAGAGTCAACAGCCGCTGAGGCAAGGTTAGCATGTTTTCTTGCAAGTTCTCTTGTTCTCTGTATCCCTCGGCTCTTACCAAGGTAGTCCAGAGCCTGCAATTTTCATGGTAGATTTTGGTTGATTATTCACGAAAACCAGAATTTGACATTAAACGAGAAAGCCAACACTGATCAGGACAAGGAACGTAAGCAGATGCTCGCAACGACACATTTATAACATGATCTTCATAAAAAAAATAGTAATAAAAAGTCAACCGAGAATCCAGAAGATCCGAGCATTAACCTAACAGTGGATATTCTTTCCAACATTTTCAAAAAATCAAGAACCAAAATTAGTATACAACAATGGGCGGTTACTAACAAGAAACAAACCCGAGAGCTGGAATAGACTTTTGAACAGAAGGTTGTAACACAAACTATTCCACATTGAAGACAAACTCGCAATAACCAATTCCACTCAACCACTGCATCTTGTTGATGACTTGATGGGAATACTTAATTTAGAATAGAAAACAAATGAAAAGGAGCAACTCAATACAGAACTAAAGCTATAGACTTGATAGAAAATAGTGACATATTTGAAGGAAAAGACCTCTACAGTCTATAATTAGGATACACATATTTTTATCATCAATTGCACTAAAACGTGCCAAATTAAGAGGTACAAGAACATTCAACCACAAGGTTAATATGAATACAGAGGTTATCATGGACATGCTAGGAAAAAATGAATACAGTGGTCATAGAAAATGCTAGGAAAAGATGAGCAGAAAAATGCTTACAATCTCCACATTGACAGGATCATCGAATCCCCGGTCCACCACCGTTCGCAGTTGAGGAAATTCCTCCATGGCATACAATATTGGGGCAGTTACAATCCCCTACAAACACAAAAGTTACAGAGAAACTCAAGACTAAGGGAAAAATGATTGAGAATACCTTCTTAAGACATGATGTTGAATTGTGAACGAGCACATCATGCAAAGAATTATCGACAGAGGGTAAACCTACTTTTGATCGTATAACATCTGGAAGCCTTAGTCTACCCGAAACTAAGAATGGCACACAGATTGAAAATTTAATTGGAAATATGAAATATGAAAAAAAAACTTAACGCTCATCATTGCTGGAACTAAAGTTAAGGAGAGAAAGGAAGCCTCATGAGAGTAGCTAGGAAGAACATACCTCACTGATACACTAATGGAGTACTGGGAACAATTCCCACAAATTTCAAATATTCTAGAAAAAGATGCGAGCTCGCAACTTTCCACTTGAAGTAGTTGAATTCTAATTACACTATCAAATAATAACAGCAGTGGAGCAGCCATGTTGATGGTGGTAGCGGTGGTGAAGTAGTGGTGGTGGTATTAGTAGTAGTAGTGATAGTGGCAGTAATAGTAGTATTATTAGTAGTAACAATAACGACAATAATGATAATAAGATTTTAAAATATTTGAGTAACAATTGCTTGCTAATTCTTAACCTATAAACATACATCTGACCATGCTGTAATTTTCCCCCCCTTTTTGATGAGTAAATCTGCCAGTAAGAAAAAGCTCTACTTCATAAACTGCATAGCCACTCTTTTAGGTTCAACTAAAATGAGTTCAAAAGATATGAGAAACAATTGACAAGAACAGAGAGGTTACATGACGAATATCAGACAATGAACCCTTGCCGAGGGTGGCAGATGTGCCTGTGAAATCAAGAACATCATCTATTAATTGAAATGCCAAGCCCTGCATGAATAGACATAGAAAACAAGAACTCAGAACTATGGAACCTTATCACCGGGAAAAAAAAAAAGGTAAACTACTTAAACAGGTCTTATTTGCACAATCACAAGGAAATTGCATATCCCGCCAAACTGAAATTTCTACCAGTGGTCAGATTGTCGAAGATGCATAGAGTCACTTATGAGTATTTACATGCTATTTCCACCACGATAGCAACAATGGAGAAAAGGTCGGAACATAGAACTATTTTTATTACGTCCTGCTGATCCCTTTACACCATTAAGTGATATATTAAGTCAAATAGAATGTAGAAGATTACACAGACCAAATTTTTCCCATAGTCAAAAGCTAACATGGAGACTTCAGCAGTATGCCCAGCAAGTAGCGCTATTGCTTTGCAACTGTTTGAAATTAATGATGCAGTCTTGTAATATGTTTTCTGCATGTAATAATCCATGCTGCAAAAGATGACGGAGAACATTAATTTCGGAGAAAGGTTGGTCAAAACAAATCTAACAAACAAGTGGATGTAGATAGTAAACCAGATTGTACGCAACCTTTAGCACAATGCATACATGACGCACTTCACAAGTCATCAAGACACGTTTACTCTACATAAACAGCAGAGGTGCTAAATCCCCTATATTTCCTAATATTAAAACTGCACCAACTAACATGGATGTTTCATATGACATGAGGTACAAGCTTACGTCCCTTTGACATCCTTTTCACCAAAATTAGACATTTCAAGATCCCACAACCCTCCATCTCATACTGAATGTTTTTGCAACTATTGGGGGGAAAATTAGTAAAACACCTGGTGTCCTAAAACAGAGATGATATTACTGAAGTTAGTATATACTCTGACCAGCTAAGGCATCAGGTGAGAAAGCTAGGCAAAAGTGCATGTTTAGTATGCATCAACTGACACAAAATACCCCATCTATTAGAGACATGATGCCTAACACCCAAAATTTTAAATTTAATGTGGTGTCCTTGAGAGACATACAAGCTCAGCCTTATTTTCTCCATCTGCAAGCATCCTTTTGCTTATAGTATTAGCACACTTATCAAAGAAATTTATTATGATTTGGTTCATTCATATTTCTCTGTTTGCAGCTTTTTCTTTGATGAGTTGACTCACAGGCTTAACATTTCTTAAAGAGGTGTTGTTCCTAAAGTGCGGTTCAAATTTATCCCATCCTCTGTTCTAATATTTTTATGTCACCAGCAATTTTAACCCTGGATCCCCTTCTTCTACTAAACCGACGATACAAGAAATTAAATAAATAAAAGAGAAAAAGAAAAATCTCGAATTCTACAAAAGATGGTGAAAGAAGAAGGAAAAACCCTTGTCCATTAATTTTCTCATACTCCACATCTTAATTACCTATCCTTCTTGATTTCTTCTATTTTACTCTGCTTTATTAATATTATCAAAAAGTTCATAAGAAAGTGGTTCCAGCCTTTCAAGATTCCCTATTCCAACAATAGGCTATGGTATTCGGATCCTTTGTATGCCTTGACGTACTTGTGTAGGTTATGATATGGGTGTGAATACTTCTAGCAGATTTGCAGACACGGATATCCATATGTACCCATAAATGAACCCGTGTAACATAAAAAATAGGACATTATGTATGTTGTTTGAACATCGGAGGAACACCTGAGGAATTGTTTTGAGTATTAGAATCTCTCTTTTTCCCCTCCTCCTCCTCCCTTCATTACCCCCTCCCCTACTCTCTCCCCGCTCTCCGCATTACTATTTCTTCCTCTTCCTCTTCCTCTTCCTTTCTCCCTTCTCTCTTTTTGTCACTACACCAGAAAGTAAAATACCAGAAGCAACATACTAAAACTGCAGTTAGCTACTCGCTGAAAGAATCAACTTAGAGCGTTATTTGCATACATAAAGGGGTATTTATTTGTCGCTACTGCTTGTTGTTTCCGCTTCCTTTTCATTTTTTTTCCTTGAGCCAGGGGTCTATAGGAAACAACCTTGCATACACTTTACCCTTCCCATACCCCATGTTGTGGGATTACACTGGGTTTTTTTGTTGTTGTTATTAGAGGTATTAATTGAATAAATCAGACTCTACTATTTTATAAGTCTGATCTAAGAATTTATATAACTAAATTGGGGAAGACCTAATTTCTAGTTAAGAACCCACGAAACTTTCTAATATCTCGAGATATCCGATTCTAATTCTATATATTCTTTCTGATTTTTATGCCTTTATCTCAGCGAAAAGATCAAATGTCGAATCCATTTATGACATTTCAGTTGAGTTAATTTCAATCAGGGTACATCAAAAACTAATCAGCACTGAACCAGCATACCTACAACGTTCATCAGAAGAAGTCGTCATTTGCATTGTCTCTCCAGTAACAAGATGTTCCACAACAGTTGCCAGAAGGGATACAACCTACAAGTCACAAGATCTGAGTATCGGAGCTGAAGAGAGGATAGCAAGAGGTATAACAGAAAATAGCAGAAATCTTAAACTAAAATCAGTGTTCTAGCTAGAATCCCTTCCCTGTGCTGTTGTTGCTATTTTTCGTCTATTTCTTTTTTTTTTTTAATTGAGGAGACGCAAAATAAGCGGCGTGAATGAAACCGACAGGAAAAGAAAAACCTATATAGAGTTGCTGGACCAGAAAAAACAAAAGCAAAACCCTGAGTTTTACGAGTTTGCGATACAATTTATATCAAGTGACAAAAAAATACCAACCATAAGAGATTAAAATACATAAAACCACAAGCGGTCAATAGTTAAAGGAGTGTCAAAACCCTAATACTAGACACAATAAAATCTTATTTTTGTCCATCGAGAAATTTTTAGATACAAAAGAATGTAGAATGATATATATCCCACAGAAAAAGAAAAACTTCTGATAAATAGGAATAGAACATAAAAACTAACAAGCCTTAATAACAAGAGTATTATGAACAGTATGGTTCCACTCTTGTTAATTCTGCAAAAATATTTAATGTTTTACTAGAGCCAAGAGGAAACAAGGTATACCTCTGTATTCTTCAAAGAGGCAAGTGCCACACACGCTCGGGAAAGCAGAAAGTCTCCAGCTAGTACAGCTAACTGCATTAAATAGGAGAAGAGATATTATAGCAGTTACTTTGGTTAAATATAACCCACGGATGAAAATTGCTCTTCCACCCAAGAGGAAAGCATGAGTCCTGACCCTCCTTTATCACTTGGCTTACCATAATTTAAAACTGACTGCTTTCAATAATCTCATAATTAGAAGGAAAAAATTACGCTGCCTGCAGTAAGCATGTCATATCCAATGTTCTACTCAGGGATCTAAGATATTCCCTCTGATTCAATTTATACAACATTTGTTTTTCAATTGGCACGTTCAAAATGTTTGACATTATTCCATTAATAGTATTTTTCTAAACAACTTTGACAAGTTTCAAGAATTCGACTTATTTAACTATATGTTAAACTTTCATATGATATTTTTTCTATTGAACTAACTTTTCATCGTCAATCTATATTTTCTTCTGCTGCTATTAAAATAATATACAAGTCAAATAACATCTTAAACTCCTTCGTCAATTAAATAGCGTCCTTTAAGATGGAACAGAAAGATAACAAATTTATACTTGCTTCATCTAAGTATTGATATGAACAACGGCCATCTCACTACTGCAACATCTGCTTGCTTGGATTATATGGAAGACTCTAACAGGGGACAGCATATTTCGGAAAAGAAAGTACCACGTACCTTATTTCCCATCACAAAGTTTAAAGAACCTATCCCACGTCGTGTGTCAGCATCATCTAGTACATCATCATGGAGTAGGCTGGCAACCTACGATAGAGTGAAAAAAAAGAAACTTGAATGAAGAAAGTTGTAATGAAATGGCATTTTGAGACTTAATAAACTAATCTGAACTAGAGGAGAGAAAATGAAACACCAACTAAGTGGCCATGCAGGTTTTTCTGAATGTAGGCCCATTCATATGATCTGCGTCAACCATGCCAAGTTGTTGGCCCATTGAGCATCTAAGGAAAAAGGACCCGAAAAAGAAGAAGAGAAACCTGTTTGTCTTGCTCCCCATAAATACGAAAGAAAATCAAACAAGCGGGCAACAGCTGGCAGCTGCAACTGCTTTGTTGTTAAAAAATAAAAACCTAGAGCGGTCAGCCTTATTCAACTAACTGGACCAGCACAAATAACTCTGCATCTCTACCCTTCCCCAAGAAAGACATGATCTGCCACCCTTTAAGAAATTAACATCCCCCAGCTGTCCTTCAAATTCAGAACAGAACTCCCAAGTTTTCCCAGCAATTGCAATTCTTTGATGCATTGTTATGGGTAAATTAGTACTTATCATACTATGTGGAAGTTCTCTTTTAGCTCCATCCTCCCGTTGCTTCCTTACAAATCAGGTGAGATATATCAGTTATACCCCACGTTTCCGTGTTGCTTCCTTACCAATCGGGTTTATATATGAGTTCTTTTTCATGAATCTAACATCTACACATATCCCCTATATGCGTAGTTCATCTAAATTATCTGAATTCTTCATTTTACCTTTCCTGCATTGGTCGGGGTACTTTTGTATGCAACCTTCAAAATACCCATTTAACTCATATTAAGTTGTACGTGTACATATTTAGTATCTGTGTTGTATCTGACACTTGTACCAAAGTCCAGAACATAATAATTCATCAAGAACTTGAGTGTTAAAATTTTGTCATCTAACAACCCAACTGATGGTCTTTCCATCCTAACAGGAAAAAGAGATAGAATACTTACATGGATCATCTCCGTGATTTCAGCTATACACTGCTGCCTCGTACGCAAATCCCTGGACAAAGAATCAACATCCACCTGGGGTCTAAGTACCGGTGCGTTCAGTGCCGTTGCCATCAACAGCAGAACCTACAACAAAGTGCATCGTGTATTTGCTTTTGACGATGTATGAAATCATGAACTGAAAAATGAATGCTACATTGACATGAAACAAACTTGAAAAAATCTACATTACAATGGATCTGGCCAAGCAACAGCACAATAACCACTTAACGCACGCAAGAAGCACCACCAAAGTATAATACTTCAAGAGGGTGCTATCTGTATTGCCACCACAAATGCACTTAAATTGGAAATACAAGGACTTCAATTAATACAAAAGCTTCAATTCGTACCCCTTAAAATGAAAACCATTGCTCATTAGATAGTAAATGTATCAAAAATTGCATATCTAATAAATAGAGAATTATTTCCTCAAGTTTTGCTCATATATAACATGAAACTGTTATATTCAACTAAAATGCAAACAAATAGAAAGAGAGAAAAGAAGGCCGAAGTAGTTAATACATAATACAATTCAGTTTAGTTTTGGTTTGCCAGCTGTTGCGGTTTCTTTAGTTTTTCATGTTTATCCCTGTTCTATTCACATTCTTTTATTTTGCAGCTTAAGCTTTATGTCATCTCTCCTGAAGAAAGCAGCAGATATGGTTGATGTTGTCGTAAATCTCAGACCACTTTGTCATCTGTCCAGGGATAAACATCCTTCGACCAGAAACTTGTCTCCAAACATCTTAGTTTCCAAAACGTAAGGCTTCAAACTACTTTGTCATCTTAACCTCTAATTTTCTATCTGATGCCATCTTATACTCTAAATGCAAGGCTTCAAACCACTTTGTCATCTTAACCTCTAATTTTCTATCTGATGCCATCTTATACTCTAAATGCAAGGCTTCAAACCACTTTGTCATCTTAACCTCTAAGGCTCTAACTATATGGTTGATGCCATTTTATACTATAATTTCAACATTACAGAACTTAATCATCCAAAGCTGTGTCCAAAAAGTGACGTGTCCAATAATTACTACAATTTAAGCAAAAGACAAGTGAATGTTGGATTCTCAGTCTGGTAATTTCTGCTGGAGCGTCATGTTTGAGCCTACTGTAAATGCAACTGAGGGAAATTCTTGTTCTTCCTTATTTTTCAGGAGAAACATGTTTTAAGCTTTCAGAAAGAAATGTGCAAAATCTACATCTCTGCTATTTCAAAACCAAATGTCTATATCTTTTCACTAAGCAACAGTCACTTAGCTTTCATCAGTATTTTAAAGGGAAGATACTCGGTAATTTAGAGAATCGTGACTTTTTCCAAAGCTATGCAGCCTTTATTACAGGAAATGTGGATTTTGTTTTTTTAACAATTACTTGATGACCGAAAGTTTCTTTCTTTGGAATGCGCAAAAGCTTGTGCACCGAACTAAGGTTGAATGTATAGTACACATGAAAATTGAGCTTGGGAGTAACAAATCATACTGTGGGTCGAAACCTCTTCCCTTCTACTCCCATTTTGAAGAAATACTCAGCAGCTGAAGCCAGCTTTGGGACCTGTATACAAATGAAACAGGTTGTCATCTAGCATCAAGGATTTAGCAATCGCCTAACCACGGAAAAAGTTATATACCTCGGCAACTACCATTGATCTCAGCCTGTTTGTCAGAAGGGATAATTCATCAGCAACAAGGGAAAATGGGTCCACTTGCTCCTGAGAGAAAGACAATAGGAAACAGTGGGAAAAACATCATCCTTTGGCAATTACATAAAGGATGGGATTTAAAAAGAAAACCCGAGGAACGAACAAGATAGAAAAATATAAGAGTTGATGATTTGCATCAGAACCTCAAACTACTCAGACAAGTCCTTAAAGTGGCAGCTGAACATAACTATACAGACAAGAGTCATTCACGACTCAAGAAAATTCATCCACTAGTGCAAAGTTTTAGGTACAATTTTGAATCAGTTTTGCCATCCAGAAATAAGGTAAGACAACTAGAAAGGAATAAAGAAAAGGCCCTTCAGGTCCACATACTCTGACTTAAATATGGAGAAGTAACTGCTAATAATTTTACAATTGTATAGGCCATGTCATCAATTTTCCTTCTTGAAATACTCGATCACAACATATTACAGATGAAAAAACCATAAGATCCATCAGTGAGGAAGCTAACTAAGAGGAATGACATTGAAATACGGTGTTAGCAAAAACACTGGACATAACATGATAACTGTAGATTTAAGAAATAAAATACTATACAAACCTCTGCTACAGCAGTGCTTTGATGATGAATTTGTTGACCAATACCACTAAGAGCATTAGAAACCCATGAATGAATTACTCTGCAACCCAAAACCTAATAATCACCAAAAACAATCATAATAAAGCATAAAAAGTCACAAATTAGCAATAACAGCAGCGAATTGAGCAATTAAACTATGTAACCTTTGAAACAGAGCTTACAAGAAAAAATGACTGGAAGAATCAGAAAGAAGACCACATTAATATTGACTATCTTTCTTAAGCTAAGAGATGAACTAAAAATACACCAAAAATAGAGAAAATGGAAACAAGGGAAGGGGATGAAAGAGAGATATCAAGTCTGGCAAGCACTAGGCCTTGCCTCCTATATCTTTCTACACATGGTTGAAAATTAACAACAACAACAACAACATATTCTGTGTAATCCCACAAGTGGGGTATGAGGAGAGTAATGTGTACGCATATCTTACCTCCACCTTGTCACGACTACTTGTCAACTTTCAACCCTAATTGCCGACCTCCACACTTTCCTATCGAGGGTCATGTCTTCGGTAAGTTAAAGCAATGACATGTCTTGCCTAATCATCTCTCCCCCTTACTTCTTTGGTCTACCCCTACCCTTCCTCAGACCCGCTATGGTCAACCTCTCACACCTCCTAATCGGGCATCTATGTCTCTCCTCTTCAATGCCCGAACCATCTCAACCGCGATTTCCCCAATTTGTCCTCCACAGAGACCACTTCCATCTTTTTCCCTAATAACTTAGTTCCTAATCTTATCTTTCTCGGTATGCTCACACATCCATCTCAACATCCTCATTTTAGTTACTTTCATCTTCTGCACATGGGACTTCTTGACAGGCCAATACTCAGCCCCATACAACATAGTCGGTCTAACCACCACTCCGTAGAACTTGCTCTTAAGTCTTGGTGGCACATTCTTATCACACAAGACCCCAGAAGCGAGCCTCCATTTCATCCACCCCGCTCCAATACAATGAGTAACATCCTCGTCACTCTACTCGTTGCCCAGGAAGAGAACATTTAAAGGAAAAATAACTAGAGAAAGGTGCAAGTTATGACCTAATTGAACCTTATATAACTAATTTTGTCCATCCTTCCTTTCATTTTTTCTTGTTTCCTTTTTCAAGTTTAACTCCACACATGAGAACTCATGTTGACGGTCTCAAACACGTATAAAGGAGGATGGTTGTGGCAGGTTGACAACCGACATAAAGTAGTCAATTTATAATGATTTCTCATAATTCAAAGTATGTTGGAACATGCTCGCTATGTAACCATAGGAGTCCCTGACCACAAAATAATGTTCTTGAGCATATCATTTGAGTGCAACACTAAACCCCTAAATGGACTGTCGCACCAGTGTCAACCCCCCCCCCCCCAAACCCCCACCCACAACAACGTGTAGCTCAAAATTCGGTTGGAACCAGTGCATTATTAGCTTAACATTTCCTACAATCCTACTAAAGTCTAAATTGCACCATATTAGAAAGAAATAGACCTAAGTAGAGCAAAAACCAACACACATATAGTTGAGATAGCAGGTAACAAGTAGCCTATGGAATTAGTCAAGGTGCGTATAAGCTAGCCCAGACACCGCCATTATCAAAAAGACACATGTAGCCAATCCTGACAAACGGGATTGAGGTATGGTTGATTGATTGGAAAATTTTTAAAATAAAATCACATGATCCCAATACAAACTTCAGCGCAACTATCAACTTTCTGGGCGGTAAAAAAAGAAGAAGATCAAGGCCCTAAAGTAAAAACAATATCCATTCCCAATCACAGCTAACAAAAAGTAACAGTAACTAATAGAACAGAACTCAGGAAAAAAAAAAAAGAAGGAAAAACATAAGATTAATTTCACCTTATGAGAAGCATCGATGGGAGAGGGAAAGTGATTGGAATGGTGAAATTGTTGTTGCTGGGGACATAGCCATTGATATCTATTGATACTGCGTCTCGAAATCTGAGACAAACCCCTTGCAAATAGCATTCTCGATTTACTTATTTTTGTATGTGTTATTATTGTGTGTGCTTAGTATGTGTCGCTAGTAGAAGAAGAAAAAGGAGAACGAGGGAAGGAGGAAAGGTCAAAGTAAAGCGGTGCCCCAGGGTTTGAGGAACCCAAAAAAGGCATGAAATTTAACGGACTCGTGTTTTAATTTGCTGCCTATGACGAATCCCAATAGGAACCATATGTGCAAAATTAGGTAAAAAGCCCCGTTGAACTAATTTACAAAATTTTATACAATGCGGGTATAATTTCAATGGTAGCTTCAAAAATGACTATACCCTTATTTTTGAAGTGTCAATTTCAGCCCCCGAGCATGTAAGCCGCGGCGGGTTCGGTTACTAACCAAAACAGACAAGTCAGAATCGGGATCTTGGTTGGGTCGATTGGTTGGAAAGCAGTTATTCCGGGATTAGTTATTCCATCTTTTTATGGGATAAAAAAATATTACAATCTCGGGATAACTAATCTCGAACTTAATTATACCGTAATTTTCTACCAACCAAACATGAAATAAATTTTTCTTAAATTTAATCTCGGGATTAATTATTCGTACCAACTAAGCGATGCTCAATTTGTTTGGCTCCCACCCGATGTCTAAGTACTTATATTAGTAAATCCTAAAAGGGCTGAAACTTTCTCTAACAAAGGGATTGAATGCTCTATGGCAATTGTAGTCTCATTAATGATTTCTCTTACATAGCTTCGTTTTTGTTTTTTTTTTCCTTTTTATGATAATAGACTATTCCCAATATATGGTAAAATAGCTATTCTATTTCTAGTACAAAATAATGCACCTCGTACTTGTCTCGGTTTATACAATAAAACCAAGTAAATGCACTTCTCATCCAACTTTTGATATATAAATCTTTGTTTTTATTTGGAATTTTGTTTGCTCTAATAGTGTATTATCTCTCTTTATAAAATATAACCAAGAAAATGCTTTTTCAAAAACTAAAAACAATCTGGAGGTAAGTTTTTCTAGAATAACTAATAAAATTATTCATCAAAATGTAATTCAAACATACACTTTACCGGGGTAAAATGAGGCGATCTTTTGGGGGTTAAATCTGGCCTGGAGGTGGTCGGGCTTGAAACTATTGGGTCGGATCGATTTTTGTAAAATAATATTTTTTTGTAAATTTTATAAAATTAATACAATTTAATTATTATTTTAATGTTATCAAAACTTCTAACTTACAAATAAATTAATTAAATATCCAACTTTAAAGAGTACAGCATTAAAACGTAAATAAAAGTTTTAATTTATATTAAGTGAAAGTAAAACATAAACACTAACAGTTTGTTTGGATGGTTGTTACGTATCGTTTCATAATGTATCGTATCGTATTGTATTGTATTGTACTGTATCGTTTGATAAATACAATGTTTGGATAGATTGTGTCGTTTGCCATCGTTTCATGATATCACGCACCAGCAATATGAAGAATAAACTTGCAATATTATAAAGAAAAATTATGATACATGGTAAACTTATTATATAAAAAAGTAGGGTAAATGATAAAATAAAATTATTTAATAATAATGAAGGGTGAGATTGAAAGAAAAAGATAAGGTAACGACGCGATAACAGTAAATCGGTCGTTATATAAAGTGACACATTTCGTCGTTATATAACGACGGATTTAACGATACGATACAATAAAATTTAAGTAACAATCAAAACAAACATAGTGTTTAAAGTAACAATACGATACAATACAATGAGTAACAACCATCCAAACAAGCTGTAAGAATAATATTTGGTTAAATACTTCAAAGACTTAAGTGCCTTATACTTTATTAAAATAATACCTTAAATATGAAGATTTTCTAACTTATAATTTGCAAAGTTCTTTTTTTATTTTTAAACTTGCAAATTTAAAGTTTACAATGACTAAATTAAAGTAAAAAGAGTGCATTCAAATTTGGATAGAAACTTCAAAGGTTTTGCATCGCGTTTGTAGTTTTTCCAAGCCAATATGAACTTCTTAGTCAGCTTTTGGGTGTTCAAGTCAAATGGACAATCATTTGTCAATATATCTCCAAGTTACTCGTCATCTGGTTTATCTATATCTTTACGTCATTGATTTTATTGCTCCGATCTAATCTAATCTCTAAAATATACTAGAACTTTTAAAGTGTTGCTTCGCAATAACTGACGGGTGTCTCCTAACTGCTGTCTCACTTGACTAAATGTGCTCTCTGATGCAACAATTTAAATTGGCACATTTAGCACGTCCCGAGCAGGGGCGAAGCTACGTGCAACCAAGGGTGGTCAACTGACCACCCTTCGCTGGAAAATTATACTCCGTATAAGGTAAAATATTATTTGTTATTGATTAAAAATAGGTTTTGAACACCCTTACATAGCCCACTGGCAAATGTTTGAACACTCTTGTTGAATTTTCTGGCTTCGCCACTGGTCCCGAACCATTGCCGAAATAATGGGAAATTGCTTTGCATTGCCACCATGCCAACAGTAAAAATTTCTTTGTACGGAGCACCGTCTACTTTTGCAAGTAGAATTGAAGTTCATCAATGTTTCTATTATTGATTTGTTTGGAAAATAGTGCGGACCATATAGCAAAACTGTCAACACCTTCATCTACATCAATAGTAGAAGATGTAGAAGCAGAACTAGAATGGAATATTTGGGTTAATATTTACTACAACATAAGAAGCATTATCAATTAAATTTGCATAACAACTATATAACTGCTGCAAATATTCATTTAGCTTATGCATACAAGCGTAACTTTATGGATTTTAGTTGCTTCAATCTACATATATGTATACAAAACATTGATTAGTCGGTGAGAAGCAAACATTTAATAGAAGGATTTAAAATAGAAGCGATTAGCTAAACAGGAGAAATAAAATAGAAATATTTTTTGAATTTTTTTGCATCTTTTCAGTGGCATTCTTGTATCTTTCTTTCTTTTGAATCGAGAGAGAAAAAGAATAATTTCAGCGGTATGTACTAAACATTAGCAATAATAGCGTAATAAGATCTAGAAAATTCAACAATAGTCACATAAAATTTATGTAAAAAATTTAACATCTTCAATGTCTTCTCAAGTATTACTTGTTAATATACGGTTAGGATTGGTACAATACCTTTCACAACTTTAGTTATAGGTGATCTATATTTCTAACAATATTTTAAGAATACATATGTATAATTTCACCGAGTAGCAACTTTTTCTGCATGAATCTTGGGCTGAGGCTATATGCCTTACACTTATCCTTAAATTTCTTAATTCAAAATTATCTATTATTTCCTTGAATAACACCAACTGCTATTTTAACTTGAGTAATCTCGGTCTTAAATAAATCAAGGTCACTTTTAATTATTAAATTATAAATATGACATGTACATGTAATATGAAAGATGTCTTCAAGTGGCGGGTTCAAATGCAGTTTTAATAGTGAGATATCAGCAGTACTATTAGAAGCATTATCAAAAGACATACACAATATTTTTTGAGTAAGACTGTACAATATCACAACTTTGTAAATATTAGCCCAACGTATTATGTCACAACTTATACATAACATGTAATAGAGACGTAGTATACCACTAGTAGTCGGATTAAACTGTTATTGGACATAATTAGAACCCCCGCCAGATCCAGTAGGAGCTCTACAACAGCTACTTGGAGTCGGTATTTTTTGTCATCTATTTGAGCTTTTACCCATAAAGCTTTATGTTTATTATTCAAGTATATGCTTAAACACCTGTCCCACCTGATTTTTAACTCGTCCCATGTGCAATGTTACTTTATATTTTTTACAAGTAGCAACTAAAGATACTTTATTGAAATCAAAAAAATTACATACAAGTGATGTTCTCACACGTTTTGTCTTAACCTTATAAGAGATACATGGAGAGGTAAAACTCCAGAACGAGATTGAGTCTAAGTTGGAGCGTATGTTACTGCTAGTGGATTTTTCATCTAATTCATCTTCTTCATTTTTTTTCTTTCACATTAAAATTAATATCATTGCCAAATTATCTTTGCAAAGTTTCATGATCTAGTGGTTCTTTCGGATTAATATCATAAAATCTGGGGAATTAACTAGAGAAAGTTTAATCAACATGAGTTATATCCATTATATGTTTTCTAACTTTAGGATGAAGATTAGGATTACTACTAGAACTAGCACCTCTATTACTTTTTCTAAAATGGGTTGGTTATACCTAATATCTTTTTAGGAGCCATAATTTAAATAGAAAAATTAAATATTAAAATTACGTAAAAATTAATTATAAAAATTAAGTGATGCAACGAGTATGCCGTAATTAAATATTAAAACTTGAATATATTACCCAACTTATTGCTCCAAATACTTGACGAATTAATTTGACGCTTGAAACTTGCTCCAAAAATTTGTCCAAATACTTGAAACGTAGATGATTATAAGAAAATACAGAGAAGAATGAAGATAGAATGTCAGCGATTAAGAGAGAGTTATAGTATTTTATGTAGAGAAAAATGAATAAGGATGGAGGTTATTTATAATTAAAATTCAAGACAACTGTAATTACTAAACTTGAGGGTTAAATAAAAAGTTACGATGGTATGGGGTGAATTGGGGGGGAGAGTGGAGGAGTCAAAAACTGTCGTTTTTTGCCGTTGCCAATGGCTCTTTTTGAAATAAAAAAGTCGATTGCCAACGGCTAGTTCAAAAAAATTTGGAAGTTTATCGGGCCGGGCCGTGCCACCGAAACCAAATGGTTGTCCCATCCCATTCCATGTCTCTTCTACCCCAATCCCGTCCCACCTTTCCTCTGCCGAGCCGGGCCGAGACCGGACAGTCCGTCCCGTTGGACACCATAGGTTTGACTCACTTTTGCATTCATTTAAGTTGGGTCCTACAATGTTCACATAATCAGTAGCAACTTGTACAATTATAGGTTACATGGTCCTATGGCTTCTAGTTAATCACTATTGTAACAGTTTAAAATTCTGGGACACTTGTACGCTGTAGCATCTTTGCATTCACGAACTAGAGAATTCTGCTAATTTGGGTCAGAAGCATTGTTCTTCTGATGCTGACTTGTGAATATACCTATATTGGCAAAGGGAGATACCTGTCACGATCTGAAATCCCTATCGCGGGGCCGTGATAGCGTCTAACGTCCACT